TTTCTTAATATGAGTTTTTGTTTAAACAGTGAGATATTCTAAAGGTACCTGTGTCAGGATTTAAAGCTGCATTTTTCTAATGTTTTGAGTCTTCTAGTTTGATGTTGGACTTAATGGCTTGAAACTTTTCTTCTCTTAAAAGTCGTGACCAATTAACTTATCTATTTATCCATCCATCTCTCAGTCATCTATTCAATTATCTACACCTATCTATCCCATCACAATTTATCACCAATTATGCTTAGATTTTCCTAAGGAAAGCACCAAACGACTGCTGTGGGCAAAGATCCGGAAAGTCCACCTCTTTCCACCTGCCTTGTCTGATTGGGTCAGGGCTGGGCACCTGGGCCAGGGGCAAACAACCATGGGCTAGTCAGTGCAGCCCTGGCTTGGAAGAAGTTCTGCCTACATGGGGCACAGAGTGACTCTCATCATCCTAGTCAGTTACTGTCTTGGGAATGTGTTCTAGGATACATAGAGAATCCCCTTTAGTAGTCAGAGGAGTAAAGAGTGGGGATGCAGAACCAGAGAGCAGCTGGGGGTTAAGTGGGGACCAGTCTGTGATCTGTGAAATTGTACTTCTTTTGAAGGGAACAGAGTAACACCAGGTCTCAAGATGCTTCGGATTCTGCTTGGATTCTGTGAAACCTGATAATAGATTTCTTTTAGGATTTGTTCACTGGGCTGTTTTCTGTTTTCTACATTTCCACAAACTTTTTTATAATATATAATATCCCACCCCTATTCCATTTATAAGATAACATTATCAATTATCTATTCGTTGCTACCACAGCCATCAAATATTTTTCATTGTCTTTTGGTAGTTCTAGCATGTTACAGTTTTCAAAGAATTTTACATGTGTTCTTTAATAATAGAGGAGCTACTTAGGGACCTAGGTGTCTCCACACTCACTAATTCAGGCATTTGCAGAAAAAGACATCAATGACCAGAATCTAGATTCAGGCCTGCTGTTAGCCACAGAGCTGTCTTTATGATTTGCAGGGCATTTCTCTGCCTTTATCTAATTTATTATTTCCATGTCTGGCCAGATCTAGATTCCTAGATCTACTCCCAGCCGTTCTGAGGATCTGCTTCCTGCCGGGTGCTTAGCACATGTTACCTACTACAGCAACATGAGGAAGTAGAAAGGGAAGCAGGATGAGACAGTTGAAGCACACATGTGAAGGAAGTGATGGGACTGGGACCTGATTCTGCAAAAACCCCCAAACTACCACACCGCAGCAGAATTTTCTTAAGTGGGATGACTTAGGAGCAGGGACAAAAACCAACCTCAGGTTTTACTTTAAATTTCTTGAAATAAGTACAAGGTGAGCAATTATAGAAGATGTGACAACCAGACCAGCACTGGATGAGACTGGCTAAGGAGCCTTCCTTTGAGATCATAATGTGACTTGGCCTGGTCCATTTTGCCCACTGTGTGGTATGCATGCCATCTGAAACAACTAGTTCTGCAAAGAGAAATAATAGTAGATGGCCACATGTGGAGCTGGGAGAGCACGTCTTAAGTCCACCCTCATCCCCCCATCCCCCACCAAGGGAGGCTTTGGGGTATTTATCTCCCTATCCCAAGGAGCAGGGAAGGTGACAGGAGGTTAATTAAGAGGAGGTTAAATCTAGATGCTTCCCCCACCACCACTCTGGTGCTTTATCTTCTGTGGCCAAAAGACTGGACAAAAGGTACATCCTTGCACATAGGCTACCACTCACCATGCCACTGAAATGAACTGATAAGAAGTGTCCTCACAGCTCCAAGGAAATCTGTAGACCATGGTTGATTGTAGAGCCAGAGTTTGTGAGCATCCAGAGGCATGGTGGAGGCTAGGAGAAGGGCAGCCAGTGGGATTCATTTGCTGAGGGCTGGGAACATGGTCACTGAACTATGGTGTCTACTTTGAACCTAGGGCAAAAGAGACAGTCATCAAGGGTTATCAACAATAGGAGTTATCACATGGCTAGGTAAAGTATTGGACAGTAAATACTTCGGGCTTTGGGGGCCACAGGCCCTCAGTACAGCTGCTAAAATCAGCTGTTGTAGAATAAAAATAGACACAGATAATATTAAAATAAAGGGGTGTGGCTGTGTTTTAATAAGAATTTGCTTACAAAGATAGGTGGCTGACTGGCTTTGGCTCATGGGACATTAGATGATGGTCCTTGACCTATCTGTGTATTGATGTCTGGGAGACAGACACATGGCAGTCAAGGACAAGGTGAGAAAAGTCATATCAGTTACAAGTCATGATCCTTTGCTCAATTCTCAAATGACTCAGTTTTCAGGTCTGGAGCCCACTGACTGACAGGTGGCTGGAGGAAGTGCATTGCTACATGACAGGTAGACACCATGATGACTTCTCAGGCCTTCAAAGGGACCTGGGCCACTCGCTTTGATAATAGTGGGAAAGGGGACAATCAGGCATTTTCAGGACTACTAGACAGAGTCTGAGCTGGCATTGATACTGAGAGCTCTAAAGATGTCTTTGACCCTCTATTTAAGTGGGGCACATGGAAACCAAGCAAAAAAGGGAGTCCTGGATAGAGCCCAGCTTACAATTGGCCCACGCGGCCTACTGATCTGTCCAATGGTCATATTGTATCTTTGGCTATTCTTGGTCCCCTTCATCACAATGGGTGTCTGCTGGCAAGGCTGGCTGTGCTGTGACTCATACCTTCCGTAACACTCTGTCCCGTTCCAATCCCACCCAAAGCTGGCACCTTTCTGCTATACTCAGAATCGGGGCAGAAAAACATCCCAGAGGTGGAAAGTATGGCCTCCAGAATACAAGGCAGTCTACAGGAACAGACTTCCTTCTTTGTGATAAGATTAGATGATTTGGGGTAAGGGAGGAGATCTCAGAATACCACCACCCACCCTTGTAATTGTAACATCCCATAAATGACACTGAGGCACCCTCGTTTAGATACTTCATAGGATTTATCTCCCACCTTCTGAAGGGCATATACCTTTTCAAAGCCTCCAGGATACAAGCCTCCTCTGGCCCATCCAGTTCAGTCAGCTTTGTGTTGTCTTGATGGGAAGGACTGCTGTCTTTCAGATTTCTAAGAGGTTCTGCTTTCTCTAATATGATAGAAGGTGAAAGGATTAGCATTAGTAAGGTAAATGGCAAATAAATATTGTCTCTTTTTTCCTGACCTGAAAACCTCATGTGGCACCTTTATCCAGGAACTTAGGCAATGGTGCAGAAACTCCACGTAGTAGAGCAGCCAATGGGTGTCAACTTCAAGTGAAGGAGGTGTGGGTCATGATCACGGGAACTCCTGGTTGTCATAAATTGCACTGTTTCCAGAGGGAATCGGAAATAGAGGTTGTTGGAGCCAATGTGCACAGTCCCAGTTGAAGCACCAGCCCTGAGAAGACCTGAAAGGACAGTGCCATTTTTCAGGACATGCTGCACTTGTTACATTGGTGATGGGTCTCCAGAGGAAGATACAAGGGTCTGGAAAGCAGGTGTGATGTGGAGTGGCCTTACCCCTCACCACCATTCCAATGGCCCTCTTACTACCATCCCAAAGGACCCATGGCAGGTGATAGTGACCTACCCAGAATGAAGGTTTGGGTTATAACATTGGCTACGTCACCAGCACCTGCCAATAATGTCATGTTCTGAGGACAAAGCAGATAGGGGAGAAGGTGAGTGTTGACTGTGGCCCTGGGATCAAATGTGATCATAAGGAAGTGTACAGGTAACCTTTTCTTTGAGAGGCACCTCAGGAAGGAGAGGCTCCAAGGACTATGGAGGTACTATTCCCTGGGACTGTGTGAAGAAGATTTTTTGTGGCCCAAAAGGTGTAATATGGTAGTCACGACAATATACCTTATGGACCTCTAACAACAGGAGGCCTAACTGACCTCTGGCCCAGTGTCTTTGCTCTGAGACACTTCACCACATTTGTGTTGAGGTGTGGTTACTCACACCTGAGCTCAGTAGGGACAACGGAGCAGGTTCAGTCCTGAGAGCAGTGCTAGCTGTAATACTGGTAGAAGATGAGGTAGAACCAGAGGCAAGACCTCTAGTTCAAATATTAAGAATTTCAAGATGGCAGCCCCAATGCATTAGTCAAGTGGAGGTCCCATGTGACTTGACAGGTTGTGCATATATATATCTAATATATAATATACATATATATATAAAATTTTATTTTTAAAAATTTTATGTGCATTGGTGTTTTGCCTACATGTATGTCTGTGTGAGGGTGTCAAAGCCCCTAGAACTGGAGTTGCAGATATGTGCAAGCTATCATGTGGGTGCTGGGAATTGAAACTGGGTCCTCTGGAAGAGCAGCCAGTGCTCTTAACGGCTGAGTCAACTCTCCAGTCCCGACAAGTTGCATTACTATTAATCTGGTTTTACTTGGAATATATGGATCTGACTTCAGCTTTGCTCCTTTAGCTGAGATGATATGTATTTTCTCCTTCATTTTGTTAATATTGTATATTACATTGATCAGTTTTGTATGTAAACATCCTTGAATTCCAAGAATAAAGCTTACTTAATAGTCATGGTGTATAATTCTATTAATATGCTGCCTAGCTCATTTCATTAATATGCTAGTATTTTATTGAGAACTTTTGTGTCAATTATCATAAACAACATAATTTTTTCTAGGGTCTTTAGAATGAGTTAAGAAATAGTTCTTCCTACTTAGTTTTTTTGGGGGAAGTTTGAGAAAACTTGGAGTTAGTTCTTTAAATGTTTGGTAGAATTCATCTGGGAAGCCATCAAGTCCAGGGCCTTTCTTTGCTGAGAGATTTTTTTTTAATCACTGGTTCAATCTGCTTACTTGTTATTAAGCTATTTGGAAGATCCATGTCCTCATGATTTAGTCTTGGTAAGTTCTGTGATTTTTGGAATTTGCCCATTTCACACAGGTTATCAAATTTACGAGTTTATAATTGTTCATTCTTACAATCCTTTGCATTTCTGTAGAGTTGGTAGTTACATCTCTCTGTATTAGTTTTCCTATTACTGTCACAAAATGCCTGACAAGAAGCAACTTAAGGCAGGGCTTACTCTGGCTTACGGTTCTAGGAGACACAGTCCACACAACAGGGGAAGCATGGCAGCTGGCACGTGGGGAGGCCGCTGGTCACGTTGCATCTGCAATCAAGAAGGCAGGAGTGAACAGAAGGTTCCAGAACCTTCTGAGGCAGTGCCACCATCTGGGGACCAAGTGTTAATCTATCCACCTATGGGAAACATTTCACATTCAAACTACAATAATCCAAATTTAAATTTTTTATTGTAGTAATTTGAATGTTCTTTCTATATATATCCCCTTATGGGGGAGGCCACTATGTTGCTCAGGCTAACCTCAAAATTTCCGTTTTGCTTCAGTTTCCCAAGTAACTTGGATCACAGGTGTACGCCATTGTGCTGTGCTCTCTTTACACCCAGCTAAAGATCTGTCAGTTTCAGATCTTTTCAATTTTTTTTAAGTTTTATCATTTTTCTATGTTCCTTTTATTTACCTCAATTTTAATTTTTTTTTTTTTCGAGACAGGGTTTCTCTGTGTAGCTTTGCGCCTTTCCTGGGACTCACTTGGTAGTCCAGGCTGGCCTCGAACTCACAGAGATCCGCCTGGCTCTGCCTCCCAAGTGCTGGGATTAAAGGCGTGCGCCACCACCGCCCGGCAATTTTGTTATTTTTTCAACTGCTAATTTAGGGTTTAGCTTGTTATTCTTTTTCTGATTACTTGAGTTATGAAGGCAAGTTGTTGATTTTAGTATTTGGGACTGAAATGAAGAAATCATTCAGGGAAGAGCCATACTAACAAACCAGTATTGCGGGGTTCTTCAGATATCTAGATATTGGATCAGGCACTGAAGGCTAGGTAGGCCAGTGACAACCGTATCTCTCCATCATCTTTGAATGACAGTTTTGATTCTTGGTGGAGACTTGGGATAGATTGGCTAACTGCCTTTTGGGCCCTAATTTCTGATAAGGAACCCAATAACCTTATTGTGGATCCCTTGCATGTGGCGAATCATTTCAGTCTTGCTGATGAACTCAGGTGGCTAGGCTTGTGCATGCAACGTGTACTTTTACCCATTATGCTTAGAACTTAGTCTTATATAATGCCATCAGCTACACCTATGATTGTGTAGCCCTCATAACACAATCACCTCAAAGGTCCCACCTCTTAATATTGTTATAATGGCCATACAATTCCAACATGAGCTTTGGAGGGGACAGACATTCAAATCACAGTAATAACATAACGACACAGTAACAATAAAAACCATGCAAACAGCAGCCATCAACTGAATACTTTTTCTATGCCAGGTACAGTGCCAGTCAGTTTTAAATATTAACTAGTTTCATTTTACAAGGATCATATGAGGCAGGAACTTAAAAAATGATCTATCTGCTAATGCAGCTAACTGAGGCCAGTCAGTATGTTCTCCTTGAGAAAGGTGATGTGCCTGAGCCCCACCCTGCTCTCAATACTCTCCTATGTGGGTCCTTAGCAGAACCCTTTCTGGCTGGAGGGCTGAGAATTTTACTATATTACTTTGCTTAGATAGATGGTAAATAATGTATGTGAATAAAGACCTTGTATTTATAAAGCCCATAGCAGACATTGTGCTCTATCCCCCACTGTCCAGTACTCAACCCCTTCCCCATTTGGGACAGAACACCCACCATGGTAGTCCCAGTGCAAGCAACAAGACCAAGCATGTGCAAGCTACCTGTCCTGGCAGCTATGATGTTAATTGTTTATGTACAGTCAGCCAAGTGGACACTTTCCTTGAAGACCTGGATTCTTGGCTTCTTTTATATTTGTGGCACTCACTTTGTAGTCATTTGTGGTGCTGTTGGGAGTGTCCTAGGAGGGGCCATCCTGCTTCTGACAATGATCAATATGGCAAGATATACCCAAGGATGCAATAGCGGCACTTATATCTTGGGGATAACCAATAGCTTTCTAATCAGACTTAATGATCTCTCAATTGGAAGGAATTTGTGATTGGTGCTATAAACCTAGCCAACTAACCAATGGCTGGTGAGGTCATGAACCACAGAAGAAGACCCGTTACTGACGCTTTCCTAAACAGTAAAATTCCCAACTCAGTTATAAATATTTATCCTTATATTCACAGACAAATGTAGCTCTTACCTCTCACCAAAGGAGCTTCTTTTTTTGCAGTACATGGAGAGCATCACAGAAAGCCACAACTGATTAAAATGACAAAAAAAAACTGTTTGGGGTCTGCATTCCTAATTGATACAAATGCAACATAACCCCTACATCTAAGGCTCAGGGTACATTGTGGAAGAGGAACGAAAAAATTGTGAGCCAGAGGACCAGGATATTTGCTGTGAGATAGTGTTTTCTATATATGAAAGGGAGCTGTAGTCATGAAATTTCAACAATATGGTCACCTAAACAAGTGGACACCCAGTGTGGAAGAAAGAAATCTCACAGGCCTTACCCTAGATGAAGAACTACAGGCAATTAATGGATGCTAAGAAAGGGGGAAATTAGTCTTCTTTTCGGTGAGTCCCTTGATATTTCATAGGTCAGTCCGAAACATATATACATATGAGCAACACCAAATGGACTCAGTGTGTGTGTGTGTGTGTGTGTGTGTGTGTGTGTGTGTGTGTGTGTGTATTGTGTATCAATAATAGTTAAGAAGAGAGACCATGAATTTGAGGGGGACATTCAAGGGGCTGGAGAGGGGAGAAGGTAAAGGGGAAACGGTGTAAATATGATACTAATGGATGAAAATATCAAAAAAATAATTTTTTTAAAGGAGAAAAAGTAACAACATTAACAAAAAGATGTTCAGGCTCTTTGATTCTTTAGAAATACCCAAGTCAGGTTCACTTCCCTGGCCACCATCACTCAAGCATTTGGTGAAAGCTTTCTAACAACCTCTCCTCAACCTAACTGATTTCTTACTTGCAACCAAGAATGCTAATTGGGCTGGGGCACTTGGTATTTGTGAAGTTCACTCGTGTTTTCTGCCTGGAAAACAATTTGATCCGTGACGCAGATGAAGAAGCTCTGACCGCCTTGTAGCTTGATAGCAGTTTGGTTATTTTACAAGCAGCTTGGCTGTGAGGAAAGCAGCAGTCTAAGAGGGATTGTAACTACCTTTTAAAGGTCCCATGTGAAAAAGTAATCATATTCTCTGTATTTCTGCTCACTTCCTTTCCGGTTAGGGGACTTCCTGGTGGTCTGGCAGAACAGACAGTGTGTGCTGCTCAGTCCGGAATTCCCCGCCCCCAGCTCCCAATAAGTCTCTTTGCAGCTGGTGATGATTAGCGTCTCTTTGGATGGGTGACTGTCACAGCTAGGAGGGTTTACTGGGGCAGAAGAAGCCACTTCTCTAGCTACACATTCACCCAGGGAAGCATTTGCTTCGGGGGATGAGGGCGGGGCTTGCTTAATGGGCTGCAAGCAGGTGCGTTTAAAGCTGCATACCCACAGAATCGCGCTGCCTTACCCTTATTCCAGGGTCTTCACTCCTGACAGTCTTCCTTTCTCCCTTCCATTCTTTATGGCTGCTCATTCCTGCTGCCTGCCCTCCCTTCCTAGCACATGCTAGGCTCCCCAGAACCCATGTATTTCCTTTTCCCTGCATCTTCTTGAATAGGGATTTGTTCTTCTGAGCCCCAGCACCTCCCCTTGTAGTCTTAGCCCTCCCTCCCCCCATGTAGTCCCGGCCCTGCCCCCACATGCCCTCTTGTCATCCTTTAATAGTTCTCTTAGTTTCCCAGCTCCCTAACTGCACACTCTTCACTCTGGAAACTTCATATGGGTAGGAATCAAGTGCAGGTCCAGACAGCAGCCATGGGGCTTACTTGGCACTCAGCAGGCAAGGACTGGGAGAATTACCATCCCCATCTGATGATGAAAGGCTGGTGAGGTGGCTCAGGAGGTAAAGGCGCCTGGTTCTAAGTCTGATGACCTGGGATCCACCACCTGGTGGAAAGGACAGATGACTGCAGGAAGTTCTTCTCTAACCTCCACCTGTACACCAAGGGCACACACGTATACACCCCCCCCCAAAAAAAAGTAAATAAAATGTAAGAAAAATTAAAGCAGAATGGCAATGGAGTAAATTCTCAGCGCTCACCCTTAATGTCTGGTAGGCAAGTCCCAACCCCTGCTCTCTGATGGAAAGAAGGGTCTTGAGATAATAGAATGATACACAGACACCCCAGTGCGCGGGAACTGTTTGGCTCATACCCTGTTAAGCAGATAGCCCCTTGATTCCTTTCCACAGGAACCAGGAAAGCTTTCTTCATGGGGACGGAGAAGGAAGGAGAAATGGAGAGTAAGGTGAATCAATTTGGAAATAGTTGTGTGTAGAGTTTTATTTTTGTCAAAAATTTTGGCTACAATTGCTGGCATTTAGGAGGCAGGAAGCAGAGATGCCAGCCTCTCGTGCTGGGTGCAGTACCATACCACAGTGAACGGTCTGTGCCCAGGCCTGAACAATTTTTTCTGATGCCTTTTGTTCCTTACCTAAACTTTCAAGTATGTGAAACATTTTATTGGCAAACTAAGTTCAGTTTTAGATAAGATTATGGCAAGCATTAAGGAATTTTACGTAGTCTTAATACACTGTTACCAGCAATAGATCTGTCAGTAAAAGACAGATTACATTTTGTTTTGTTTCCAGGTTCTTTACCTGGAAACGGTTACGGCAGAAAGTCACGGAGGAGGCAGACTGCAGGTGCGAGCAAGTGTCATGGTGTTACCATTAAACCCACAGTCTGCATTTGTAGTCATGTGACCAGATGATCTTACCATAGAGCTTTCAGGGTGAAGACAGAAAGTTTGAAACAAGGGATTCAAAAACTATTAAAACCTACAAAACCAAACAAGTGCAAAAGAAACATAGTTACGTTTTATTTATTTTATTTTTTAAGCTAGTGGCATTTGCATATTCTCTGAAGTTTTTAAAGCTGAGACAGTGGCAACGTTAGGGACGGTATTTGCTTTAATAAATACAGAAGGCCACGGGCTCTAGCTTGCAAACCTTAGAACAGTCCTCCCTAGAAGGGGCGGAACCGTGACCCGTTGGACAACAAAAGTACAATTCCCCATGATCAGCCTGTTCTCGAGGAAGGTCACCGCGCGGCTCTGAGTGGCAGTGGCCTTGTCTGCACCACCGGCGTGGGAAAAGCGTCTGGGCTGCGTGGGAACAGTTGCGCGGCGCGGGGCACGGTTGTGGCCAGGGAACAAGGGCCACCCAGGTCTCCCGGTGACCGTGCCTGCTCCAGGGTGCTTGCTCCTTAAGCGGTTCAGTACTGGGCAACGCCCGGGGCGGCCTTTCCTGGGCGTGAGTGTGTGTGTGTGTGTGTGTGTGTGTGTGTGTGTGTGTGTGTGTGGTGGCTGGGTGGCTGTCCCTGCTCCCGTCCTCCGTCCCCGCCCCGCCCCCGCCCCCCCTCCACCCCCCCGCAGCCGGGCGGGGCCCCAGGGAAGCCAGAGCTTCAGCGCCACTGAAGTTTCTGCTGTGCCAGCGCTGGGGCCCACGGTGTCGCTCAGCCCGGTAAGACGCATCCCACAGAGCTCTGGCCCTTGGCCCTGGGACGCTGTCACCCCTTACAGCCCACTCGCTGTCTCTGCTCAGTCCCTGCGCTCCCGGGCCGCCCCTCTTCCTTCCCAACCCCTGACACCCACCGCTTCCAGCACACGGATCTGGGACTCTAGAGCTTTCTCGGGAGTGGCCGAGCCTCAGCAAGGAAGGAGAGGGTGGCCATGGCACCCTCCCCACCCACACCGCCAGGACCTGTGGTCTTAGTGCGTGGGAATTTCAGGAGCGTTAGTTCCACTTGTTGGTTGTCACTCAGCACCGCGCGTTGCCTGCAGAGGTTGAGATTGAGCCCGGTGCAGTCAGAGAGTCGCGGGGGATGGGGGGTGGCGGGGAGGGTGCCCTGGAAGCTGGGAGTCAGCGGAGGAGCACAGGCTGGCCTGATTGGCAACCGGTGTAAAGTGGGGAAAGGCTCTTCGGTGGGACCTTTTCTATCTTTCTTTTACTTACCCGAGGAGTTCCACCCCAGCTTCTAGGGCTCACGGACTCAAGCGAGTTTGCGCAGGGTTCTGTAGACGCAGGATTCTGACCCATTATTGTGTCAGGTTTGGGCAGTTTTGAGTTTGGGGGAAAACGAAGGACTCTTAGAAGAGTTTTCCTTTCTTCTTTAAACTTTATTATTTTATGTCGTGTATGTGGCTGTTTCGCGTGCATGTATGTCTGTGCAACAGGTGTGTGCCTAATACCCATCAGACCCCTGGAACCGGAGTTATAGATGGCTGCGAGCTGTCATCTGGGTGCTAGGAATAGAACCCCAGTCATCTAGAAGGAAGTTCTCTGTAAGAGCTCCTAACCACTGAGCCACCTCGCCAGCCCCTCTCAAAAAGCACACAATTAAAGGAAGACTATGATGAAAGAAAACAGCTGCTAAAATATTAGAAGAATATCATGTAATGTATGTTTTTAAAAGCAAAGAACTGTTACAATTTTGAAATACTAGGGAACATAGAATTCAAGACATAGGCACACCCTGTAGTGTAAGAAAATACTTTTTAAAAGGTCATAATGCTGCTGGTATTGCTGTGGCTGACTGCCTACCCAAAACTCGAAGAAAATGTTAAATTTCAAGCAGACGGCAGTGAAGGTAAAGATTTTTCCTTCATTCAGATGAATGGGACCCAATCTATCTAGATACCCTGTTAGTAGAAAGGGTTTTGCCTTACTAGTTAGGCAACTTGGTTTCTGGGGCTTAACATTTCTTTTAACTACCATTGTGTCCTCTATTCCGGGCTTCTTTGGACATCTGCTTCACCTAAGGAGGAGAAAAAAAAAGCCACCCTACCTCCCTCAACAAAGCAAGCCTAACACCTCCCCATACTTGAAAAGCACCCAAACTGAACTTGATGTAGAGGGATGCACTACTGACCATTTTTAGATCTCATCTGTTTCTCTTCCCAGTATTGGCCATCACCCTGTGTCCCCTGACCTGGTACATCAAAGGTTTGCTGGATGACTTGGACGGGGTGGCTTGTTATGCCATCATGGAGACAGCTGGAGGCTAGGGAAATGACTGTTTAAGATGAACTGCTGCTTCTTTTGAACTTGGCAGGGCAACTCCATACACACACGGGGACTTGGGAGTACAAAATGCCAGTAAGGGCTCTTGGGTCTGTTGTGGGTCTGGCCCACCAGGAAAAAGATACCATCTTGATAGGAAAGTAGGGTTCCAGAAGTTTCTTTTGCCCATTTGTAGATGTGTTGTAATACAGGAAATGTCTTGTAAATAATGGAGACAGAACCCATGACAAAGCATTTCTAGATGAACATTTCTCTTCCCTCTTTTTATTTTCACCCTGCCTCTCACCCATCACAAAACTCTTTGACTCTGGAGATTTGGTAAATAGGAGAATGGTGGGCAATTTACCAAAAGCTACCCAGACTAGGCCTAAAGCCAACTAAACCTCCAGTATAGACGGTGAGAACTTTCTGTGGGAATGTTGGTCCTGTAATCTGTCTGTGCTTCTGTGCGCATGTGAGCATGTGAATGACACTTGAGATGGATGAAGCCTACCCCATTCTTCAGCTGTCTAAGTTTGGATTATCATGAGATTTTCCCAGTCCCTCAAATCTACGCTTATTTTAAATAATAGAGAGAGAAAATCCTTTAAGTTCAAGAGAATTCACCTTAAAGGCCTTTCTGAGCTCAAAGTGACATATCCCTGGTCCTATAGCCTCCATTTTCTTGCTTATAAAATGGGGTCTACAATCTTCTCTTCAGTGATTGCTATGAGAAATTGCATAAAGTATATGTTACAATATCTTCCACACAGCAAACTCTCCACAAATGATGCCCTCCCCCATGCATTTCTTATGCCTTGGATCATGCACTTAACCATAGCTGCTTCCCAGAGAATAATGGTACATAAATGGGACATTGGCTTTCCATTCTGATTATGTTGCAGGCCTAAGTATTTGACCTTGCCATTCTTTGCCCCAGATATTTAATCTGAGGAATCAATAGACAAATAGCCCCAATGGATATCTGCTGTGAACTCTCACCTCTTCTTCCTCCTCGATGAGAAGGTAATGCAGTTTTAGGAAGTAAGAGGCCTTTAATCCATATAGCCCAGTCCTTTGGCCTGGTGTGAAGAAAGCATGTCCCACAATGGTTAAAGATGGGCCCTATCTGGTACAATCTGAAATGTGGACCTGGGTGTCCTGACTCATGGCATGCCCTCAGATAAAGCTTCCTAGTGAATGGGTAACTGTGCCATCAGGTCAGACATAGGAGAGATGTGAGCTGTTAGGGAACCTGACACACCTGTGCCTGTGTGTATCTCATTGTGTCCTGACTATTAAAGGATCGAATTCAGTGTCTAGGTTCAAACAACAGATATGTAACTCGTAATTAAAGAGTCTTTTCTCACTGAGACCCCACACACTGGATTCCGGATAATGGCAAGCCAAAGTAATTGACCAGTCTGTTTACAGCGACACTCCACCCTTCATAACTTTCTTTCATGTACCTTTGAATCCCAGTGTACTTTGGCCTGATGAGTAATTTTATTGTGATCATTTTAATGATTCAGGAAGCCAGGTGTGGTGGCTTAAATACCTATAAATCCCAACATTTGGGAGATGGAGGCCAAAGGATTAGGAGTTCAAAGTTATCTGCACTTTTGTATGTTCAAGGTTATCCTTCTCTTGGAGTCTTTCCTGGGCTACATGGTGGCAACCTGCATCTCAACCATCCATCCATCCATCCATCCATCCATCCATCCATCCATCCATCCATCCATCCATCCATCCATCCACCCACCCAAAGAAACAAATACCAGATTCAGGAAGTCTGGGCCTAAGCTGACCCTCGCTGTGTGACCCGGTTAATTCACTGGAGACCTCCCTTTCCAGAGGGTCTGTGGCTAGGCCCACACGGATTTGTGCAGACCTTAACACAAAACCTGCCTAGAGGCCTGCCATGCACAATGTAGCAGAGAATAGGGAGTCATAGGGAGTCATTTGTTTTTATCAATAGTGCATTAGACCCTGAGGAATCAAGTTCCCCTGGCAATGAAAAATTGGAAGCAAACAGAAAACAAGGCTTGTTTACGTTTTGTGTGCTCCAGTCAAAATCCTTGACTTTCAGTTCATTGATGTGCAGTTTCCTTTTTTGAAGGCAAAATATTTCCTTTATGTAAATATAAATTTTGTTTTTTGCTTGGTGAAATAATCAGCTTTATCATTATATATATTACAAAGCACTTAAGCTTGGAGGGAATTTCTCAGTAGCAAAGGGAATCGCGTCTTCTTTATGAAGTCTTCATTGGTAATTTTTTTCGTTACTCTTTTTATTTTAGAGATTATAATTACATCATTTGCCTCTTCCCTTTCCTCCCCCAAGCCCTTCTGTATACCCCCCAGGGAGTATATTACTCTTTTTTTTATTAATTGTTGTTATATACATATATTCCTAAATATAACCTGCTCAGCCAGTATAGTGTTACTTGTC